GATGGGTAGGTGACAAAACTTTCCCTTAATTTCATTGGCATTGTTCAGTCATAATTCATTATAGACAGCCTGAAGTTTCACTAAACTGTACAATGGATGATTTATCTCCTAGTACAAAAGAACAACTTATCTGGAAGTATATGGCTGGATACGAATATTTCAACAAGTAATAGTCATGAATTTCTAAAATGTTCCTTTCTTTTTTTACTCATATGTATTATTTTTTATTTTTAGGAAGAACTTCCATCAAGTAACAAAAACAAAATCAAAATGTTGCCCATTTGATAAAGCTGGGCAAAAGATTTTCAGTGCAATAGATTTCTGTCAGAAAATGATGATACAAATAAATCAAAACTTTTTTCAGGAATATGTTAATTTTCATGAAATATGTTTAGGAAGAAATGATTTTATGATAGGCTTGAAATGATTAGTTTGATAAGATTGAAAAAAATGAAACAGCTTTTTAGTTTAACATTTGATATATTATAATCAAAACAAAAGGCAAACTTATAGAACCACCAAGTACAGTATGTTATGATCCTCCCAGATCTCACAAAGGAAACTGGATTAGGTTAGGCTATACTTTCATAGGATACCTCCAAGGAACACTTCATGGAGAGTGACAAAAAGAAGTCAGTAGTAAGCATATAGCTAAACATTACGGCTACGTCTAGACTGGCCACAAATTCCGGAAAAGGGATGCAAATCAGGTAAAGGAGCTGTCTACGCTGCCCCTTCTTGCGCAAGAAAAACCCTCTTGCGCAATGCCGCTATGCTGATTATTTTCAGGAATAACGGCATTGCATAAGAGGGTTTTTCTTGCACAAGAAGGGGCAGTGTAGACGCTCCCTCTGGCGCAAGAGCCTCTTCTTCAAAACATGGTGGCTCATTACGTATGCAAATGAGGCTCAGCGATATTCCACGCTGAGCCTCATTTGCATATTTCTGGCATAAGAACCCACCAGTGTAAACATAGCCTAACAGAACATGGCAGTAGGGAAAATAAATTCCTTATGGTAAAGTAATCCAGGAACCTCTTTGCCCCCTGGAGAGCGACAGGGGACTCCTCCTGTGCCTTTTGATTTGAAATCAAACATATTATCCTTGCTCTATGGGGAAATGTAAACCAATCAGATTCCCTTTCCCATGAACAGTAGGCACTGTGACTAACTCTCCAGGCATCTGGCAGACAGCCATTTACTTTTAAAATTATTAGATACTGCTTCAATGGAATACTGAAGTGCTGTTTATCTGGGTAATGCAAAGAACATTGTAAACCGGAAAAATTCAGAAGGGAGCCCTTGCATTATCCTATATAAGATTAGTTACCCTCCCTTTTTAATTAAACAAAAGTTGGCTTCTTTTAATCTTGCAGAAGTGTGGCTAGGAAGCAAGGGGGTTGTTTCTATCACTCGTTTGTGTCAGAAAACCTTTAGTTTATTGGTTGAAACTAAAAATATAATACCCTAAAATATTCCTATCACATGCTATATACAAATCTAGGGTGTTTGTGGACCATGGTCCACACATCTGTGAGGGTTTCCATGAGCTCCTGTGGGAAAATCTCTTTTTGAGAATTGTTACAAATCCATTCAGTTTGTGGTCTCCAAGAGCTGGCTTCAATCAGTCTGACTCTACACTCATGCCACCAAGACCCTCTTCTACTCTTCATCTTCCATAGTAGAGTAACTTCTTTTTTCTTCTCAAGCTGCATGCAGGACTCTGACCTGACTTCATTTCCCCTATTACACTCACTGCTGTAAAACAGGAGTCACTCCACTGAAGCCATCATAACAACACTAGCATAAAACTGGTGTAAATTAGACTCAGAATCAAGTGGCAGGTATATGCTACGGCAAGGTCTTTGCTCTGGCTTCTTGCCTTGGGACACCTTCTGGTCCACAAATTAGTCAGAGACCTTCAGTGCAATCACTTATGCCTTTATTGTCACTTTCCCACCACCTTCTATTTACAGTCTTTAGAGTTCAACTTCCCTTTTCCTAGCTGCCTGAGCTCACGCTCAGCCACACCCTGACCCCTTGTTCCTTCTCCTTCCTAGCCCCAGTCCTCTGCCTTTTATAGCCCTCTGGCTAATGAGGCCCACAGCTGCTTCCATTAGCCCCTCAGGCCTGGGTTTGTTCAGCTGTCTGCAATCAGCCTTTTCAGCCAGGCTACAGTGGCAGAGCTCTGGCTTAGCCTGCTGTCTGTCATAGCGCCCATTGCAAAAAAAAAAAAAAAAACTGGCAGGTCACTGGCCAGCAGGGAGCGGAGCTGGCCTGGGGGCACGCAGATCATAGGGTGCTGTCTGTCTCACGCACAGTCCCGGTGGGGCGCATGGGCGAGTCCGGCCCCGGGGATTCCATCCCGCCCCGGCCCCGCCCTCCCCACCCCCCTTGTGTAGTTGCGTATTGCCTGGCTAGTAGACACACTCATGCAGCGTGAGCCTGTCTATCACCAGGCAGTTCACAACTACGTACTGATGCTCCTGAGAATAATAATAACACTTGCCTAATTAGAAAATACCGGACATTTCTATACCCAGTATTTTCTCAATTTGTTTCCCGGACAGAACCCTCAAATACCAGACTGTTCGGTTCCAAACCGGACACCTGGCAACCCGAGGGCCCCCCCACAGCAGCCATGCTTGGCCCCGTTCATTCTGGGACTCCCCGATCCCATCGCTTCTGGGAGAAATTGTGGGCAATTTCTTAACACAAAGCACTGAGCGGTGGGGGAGGGGCTCACTCGTGGGGATGGAGGAGGGGGCAGCGGATTTTCTTCTAGGACATCACCAGTCCAGACACAGCTGAGCTAAGCACCACGTCCCAGGCCCTACAAGCGACCCAGACCTTGGAAGCATCTAGGGAAGCCTTGTAGGGACCATGAGCCTAGGGCATCCTGACCAAGGGCTGCCTGCGATGACGTTTCACCTGTTGTAGCTGCTAGAGCTCCTATGGGAACCCTTTAACCCTCGTCTTGCTGAATCCTCTTACGTCCTGCGGGACGGAGCAAAGACGAGTTCCCTTAGCCCCGTCCTTCCTGGCCTAAACTGCACAACACGCACACGCCCAAGAGTTCACCAAAGGGCCTGGTGCCGCCCTCTGACCCTGGTATAAATCCAGAGTCACACCACTGAGTTCCAAGGTGTGACTCTGGATTGACTCCGGTGTGACTACGCTCAGAATCAGACGCCAAAGTTCTGCAGCTCTCCTACCCTTAACGTGACAGGCAGGGAATAACCCGAGGGAGCTGCATTCTCACCTTGGGTCTATAGCTGGGACTCATGAACGAGTCCATTACATTTGATAGGCCGGATTCTTAGTTGGTGTCAAGATACACAGCTCCACATCCCTGCGCACACACCTGTGTAACCCACACGCCTGCTGGCCGTGGGGCACTGGCCCATCTGCTGGCACCAAGACCACTTGCAGAGGGACTGAGGAGCTTGCGCCGCAGCCTTAGCGGCGGGCTGGCTGGCTTCTAGCTCTTGCCACAGAAGCTCATGCCCAAAGCTCCGAATGTCCCAGGTTCAATTCCCCCGTCAGTGTCACACATTGCCTGGTGTCTCACTTTCCCTTTCATGATCCGGGAAAATGTGGTAAGCGCAGCCTTGTGCTGGCTACTGAAAAAGAAACCCACCCTGGCCGTCGTGCTCCGGTAGAGGGGAGCTGTGAATTTGCATACGCCTCTGCTGCGAAACAGTCGCTCTCCCTTTCTAAACCAGCAAGCGCCGGGACAGAGCCTCCTGCCAAAGGGCGCGATGCTCACTCGGCTGCTGAAGGAACATGCAAGGCAGGTTGTGCAGCGAGGCGGGTGTGTGAGAGAGGGGACCGTTTCTGCAGGCCGCGTCGCTCGCTGGTGTAAATCACTGCGGCGCCCTTTGAAGTCAATGGAGACAGGCAACTACACCCCAGCTGGGGTATCGCTGACTGACTCCAAGGAGCAAAGCTGCTTTGCATCTGCCCCTTCCTCCCCTGTCTTGCACCAGCTGTGGATTTGGCCCCATGGACTTCCAAAGCTGTGATGCTGACTCCGATTTACAGCCGATGGGTCTGCACCAGTGAGAAGATCCGCTCTCCAACAAGCACTTGTTTAATTCATGTTTCTCCCCCTGCCAGCCCTGCTGTGCCAGCGAGGCAGGGACCTCCGCCCCAGACACCAGCTACAAACATCCAAGGTGCACGACAAAGCATAAAACGCTGCCCTCTGAGACACAAGCAACTCCAGGGGGCTGGAGCAATGACCGACGAGCACAGGCTGAGGGATTTGGGCTTATTCAGTCTGCAGAAGAGAAGAGTGAGGGGGGATTCGATAGCAGCCTTCAACTTCCTGAAGGGGGATTCCAAAGAAGATGGCGAGAGGCTGTTCTCAGTAGTGACGGTGGCAGAACGAGGAGCAATGGGCTCAAGTTACAGTGGGGGAGGTCTAGGTGGGATATTAGGAAAAACTATTTCACTAGGCAGGTGGGGAAGCACTGGGCTGGGTTCCCTATGGCGGGGGTAGAATCTGCATCCCTAGAGGTTTGATAAAGCCCTGGCATAGATGATTGAGCTGGGGTTGGTCCTGCCTTAGGCAGGGGCTGGACTCGATGACTCCTGAGGTCTCTTCTAGTTCTGGGATTCTAGGATTCTAAGGCCATCGACGTCAGTTTGGGCAGGCACCAGGGCACCTGAGATCAGACCCTGGCCCAGTGTTGGGACGAGCAGCCTGGCAGTGAGATGGGCCAGGCCGGGGAATGGTATCCTGGGGGGGAGGGGAGGGCCATATTTAATTCTAGAGCCCTGGGGAGAACAGCCCTGCCTCGGGCCCCACCACGGGAGGGCAGTGGACTAGATGGGCCAGGGCCAGTCAGCGTCCCCCCCCCCCCCCCTCTCTCTTTCCATTAGGGCAGTGACACCCATGCCTCTGGGGTGCCACAACCGGCACCCGCCATCCCTAGGGAAACCTCACGGCCGTTGGGAACTGAACTGGTTAATGACCTAGCTGAAGCATCCTGATTGGTTAATAACTGGGACTGGCGACTCATTAAATCACAGCGTTTTAATCGCCGGTGCTGCCGACAGCTGCCCCGCGGCAGTCTGGGAATGGTGGCTGACGAGAGGCTGGATCTGGAGCCGGGGCAGGCGGGGCGAGCTCCCCTCCCTGGGGGGCGGAGGGACCCCGCTAGCAGGGCCGTTCGCAGACCCACAACGCGGACGCGGAGCACTTGATGTCTTTGCACTTCCCACTGTGTCGCAGGGAGCCACAGTCCTCCCCATCCGGCCCCACGTTGTTGGGTTCGCCTGGCTCCCAGAACCTGAGAAGGAAGCCGGAGCCCCGGGGAGTTAGAATGAAGGTGGCAGGACAGGTCGGCCCCCTCGCGCCTAGAGACCGGGATCAAGGCCACCACTGAGCCGGCAGGACAGCAGAGGACAGGCCGTGGCCCTGGGGAGGAAATGGAGGCCTAGAGCAGGAGGAAACCTGCTGCCCCCAGAGCCCACGGATGGGACTGGCACTAAAACCCAGGAGTCCTGGCTCCTGTTTCCCCTCCTGAGCATCAGTCCCCCCCAGAGCGGGGCAGAACCCAGCAGCGCTGCTCCTTGCGCGTGGCCTGGCCACTGGAGGGTGGGGGGTTCCCCCCAGAGCCAGCTGCTGGGAAGGGGCAGCGCTCACGCCGAAGTGGCTGCCCCAGCAGGGCCTTGCCTGATAGTCAGGGGGCTGCCGTCCAGCCAGCGCCACTCCCCTTCCGCCGCTGAGTCGCTGAGGCCCAGCCAGTACACGTGGGGATCAATGACGTGGGCCGCCAAAAACACCTGTGTGGGAAAATGGAGGCCGGAGATAATCATGATCCCAAGCAGGAGGGGAGGGGGTTGTATGGGGCCTGTGTCTTGCAAAGTCTCAACCCCTCCTTGCAGTCTTCCCCCCTCCCCATTTAGCCAACCCTTTACATTAGGGCTACATTTCCCATGATGCACCAGGCACTCCCATGATGCCTCACTTCCTCTCCTCAAGAGACGTTCCCGTGCTGCCTCGTGGGAGACTGACCGGGAAGCCCGACCTCCAGAGAACGGGGGGCACGAGGCGTCCAAGCGACAGCTCCCAGGAGGCAGTGCTGCAGCCCCGCCCCTTTGAAATGTTTAAATCCCCCCGCCCCACCCCACCCCACACACCTCCCCATGAAATTTTCGACACGTGGGGAAAAAAGCTCATTTTCAGAGCAGCTGTAATTCAAATGCCTCGTCTCTGCCCATCGCCCTGTAACCACCCCCCTTCGGGAGGGGCAGTGAGCCCTGGATCGCAAGCTGTGTGGGGCAGGGACTGGCTTTGTGACACTGCAGCAGCGAGCGCGAGAGGGCTCTGGCTGGTGCCTCTAGGTGCTCCCACGGTACCAGTAAGTGACACTCCGGAGGCTGCATGGGACCGCGCTGGGCCCTGAGGGCTGCAGGTCCTTTTCGGTCCTCCAGCCTGTGAATCCCATGAATCTCCTCCATGCAGGGGGACCAAAGAATCCTCTTGCAGTCCCATTGATCCCATTCTGCACCCTGGTCACTGGGCAGGGGGTTAAATACGGGTCCACGAGGGGGGACTGTCAGGGCCTAGAGGGATGTGAGCCTGAGCCAGGAGCAAACCCCCGCCCCCGCAGTATCCTAGAGGAAGGACCCAGGACAACTCCCCTCTCACAGGCCCCACCCCTGCCCTACCTCAGCTCCACCCCTTCCCTAAGCCCCTCCCTTTGCTCCTCCCCCTGCTCCATCATGCCGCCCTGCCAGACCCCTGTTTCCCGCTGCTGCCACGGAGAAGCAGAGCACTGTCGGCCAGGAGAGGCCAGTTGGCTCCAGCTGCCTTGATATGTGTGTGGTGGGGGGGAGATCGGTGACTCCTGCTGCCAGGAGAACTGTCCTCTCCTCCCCCTCACTGCACACACACTTGAATGTTGATTCATGGGGCCCTACCAAATTCAAGTCAATTTCATGGTCACAGGACGTTATAGTAAATGCCATAAGTTCAGCTATTTACAGCTGGAATGTCCCAGTGTTGTAATGGTGGGGTCCTGGCCCACAAAGGAGTTGTCACAAGGTGACTGCGGGTAGGGGGGGCGGTTGTGGCCCTGTGATCCCCCACTTCTGCGCTGCTGCTGGCGGTGACGCTGCCTTCAGAGCTGAGCAGCTGGCGAGCAGCGGCTGCTGGCTGAGATCCCAGCTCTGACAGCAGAGCTACCGCCAGGAGCAGCGCAGTAGTGAGGATGACTTGGCATAGAAGTGCCTCCCTTAGCTCTATGCTGCTGCCTGCAGAGCGGGGCCCTCCGTCAGCTGCCACCACGCTCCGGCTGCCCAGCTCTGAAGGCAGCAGTGCAGCAGGGAGGGCGACATGGGTGTGGTTTTGCCACCCTTACTCCTGCACTGCTGTTGGCGGGACGCTGCCTTCAGAGCTGGGCGCCCGGCCAATATTACAACCACCGCGCTCCAGCCCCACAGCTGTGAAGGCAGCACAGAGGTACAGATGGCAACACCGTAACCCTCCTAAAATAACCTTGTGAGCTCCCCCCGTAGTGCCATTGTCTGTCAGGTCCCCCAATGTGAGGAACTCTGCTCTCCCCCGGGAAGTCCATGGAGCATGGGGTGAAAGCACACAAAGGCCAGATTTCAGTCTGGGACACATTTTGCACGGCTGTGAATTTGGCAGGGCCCAATGATTCCCATCGAATCATCCACCCCTGATTCTGAGCTTTCTGGTCACAAAGCTCACTCACCATTTTTCAAATGACCCCCCCCCCCCCCCCATCCTTCCCAAGACACTGCCTATGCAGGCCAGACTCTGATCTCACTGATTGGGGTAAATCTAGAGTAAAATCCCGGTTAACTGGTTAACGTTTGGTTTGCAGGGCCCAATGATTCCCATCGAATCATCCACCCCTGATTCTGAGCTTTCTGGTCACAAAGCTCACTCAGCATTTTTCAAATGACTCTCAGTATCCAGGTCCCGTTAAGCTCCCCCCAGCACACACACGGATTACCAAGAACCGGTTAATCTATTGTGCAGGGTCCCACTCCCGCCTCCCATCACGTGCGGGGCTGCTGCTGCTGCTCTTCCGCCACACACAGAGAGGCCAGCCTGTTCCCTGCTCTCCCTCCATGGTGGGGGCTGGCTCCCAACCCCTATGGGACTGCAGCCGCCCTCTGCCCGCCGCGGGCCATGGGTAGGGGCTGCTCCGGGTAAGGGTGATGCGAATTCACCCTAGGGTAGCATTGCAGACTGGCGCCTTGTGATTAATGCCCCACAGGAGGAGTGGGGGCAGCGGGCTAACCTGTTCCAGATTGGTGTTGACGACCACCAGCTGAGACCCTTGGTCGATGCAGGCCTGCTTCGCCTGCCCCCAGCTTTCAGTTACCGAGGAGAAGAAGTAGCAATTTTTCTCAAAAACCTCCCAGCCAGACGGACATTCTGTGCAGGTCGAGCCTGTGAGAAATCAAAGTAGGCGACGAGCCTGTATCATATTGGCCCCTTCCTCAAACTCAGAGGGAGGTTCAGGTGGGCTGGCCCCCGAATCAAGAGGAGGGGGAAGGGTCCATGAGAAATCAGGGCTCTGAGACTGACAGTCCCCAGGAGCAATGGGGAGAGGGCGATGGTCTAGCCTAGTGTTTCTCAGCCAGTGGTACGAATACCCTTAGGGGTACGTGAGGGAAATCAGGGGGTACCTCAACGCGGTCAGGAGTACAGAGCGAGGGGGGGGGGCATTTTTCTTTCATCTCCCCCATTTTATCCTTATTCTTTGTTACACTGGTGGCTGTGTAATACGTTGTGTTTGCCGTGAGCTGTCTGCAATCAGCAGGGGTTAGAGAAGTGTCCAGTGCAGGGAGAGCACCCCGGGGTGGGGACCCCCAGCTCCTGCCCTAATGACCTCAAGGTTGAGGTGAAGGAGCCCCCCAGGAACCCTGGGCCCAGCCTTGTGGGGGTGAGGAGGGCTCTGTCCCACGAAGGAGTATGAGGGGAGCCCTCGAGGCTCAGGGAGGCCTCTGGGTAAAGGACGTGGCAGTGGGGACTGAGATCTGTTCACCGGGGTCGTGTGGGAGCCAGACGCCACCCACCCCAGTGGGACCATCCCCCGATTACTTAGAGTCAATGAGCAGCCCAACCAAAAGGCTTCCCTCTGACGCTCTCACCCGGGTCAAGCACAGAATTTGCTGCACGGAATTTGCAGTCACTGAAACTGGATTCGTTTCCCTTCCACCCGCTCTCACAAGCAGTGAAAGAAACTGGAGCATGATTCAGCATTTGGACTTCTTTGAGACTTTCACCAAGACAGCCCCAGCCCCACACCTTCTTCTGGGGCTCCGCCCCACATGGGAGCCAATCTGCCTCTCTCCTCCCCCCGTCCCCCGCAAGGAGAGGCAGGGGAGCACCTCACATACATGCCCCCCCCCCACCTGCTTAGAGCAGGCATTCTGGGGGCGGAGGGCAGGCAGGGCCAGGCTGGCAGTTTGGGGTGGCTGTGCCTTCCCCAGCCTAGGATACTGGCCGCCCATGACCAAGAATTTTCCCTTCTCCCTTCTGAAAAACTTGCTAAATAGTTTGTTGCAAATATTCATACTTTGCCATTCACCCCCTGGGGTAGGGCAGAGGGGGCAATAATTTCTGAGGGGGGGGCCATGCTAAGATTTTGGAAAGTGACCAAGGGCCACACTTCCATGGAGGGGCTGTGGGGTTTGGGAGGGAGTTTGGGTGAGGAAGGGGGTTATGACTGTGGCAGGGGATTCAGGAGCCAGGTCTGGGTGGAAGTTGGGGTTCCGGAGTGAATTTTGGCCTGGGGGAGGGGGTGTAGCAGGAGTTGAGGGTCTGGGCGGAATATGTCTGGGTGGTGACCTGGGGCAGGAAGTTAGGAAGTGGCAGGGGCTGGGATACCGGAGGAAGGCTCTGGCCAGCTTCCCAACGGGGCCCTGAGGCAGACGCCCTCCTGCGGCAGCCCCAGCCCCATGGGTCCCCTCCATGTGCTGCTCAGGGCCGTGCACCCGTGAGGAGCAAGAGACTTCGCACTCCCCCAACCCCAGGCCAATCGAATCCTGGGGGCAGGTGGGTGTAGAGGGAGCTGCCAGCTGTTCCAAATGGTTGGAGGTTCCCTCTAGGCACCGCGTGAGAGAGTTTCTGCGCTTTCCTCCACCCCAGCTGCAATGATTTGCCTGGGGGTAGGGAGTGCACAAAATCTCCCTTCCCCGCCCCCCCTCCACCCCAGGACGTGCAGTAGAGGGGTCTGCCAGCCATTTGGAACAGCTGGCGGCTCCATCTACGCATCCTGTGCCCCTTACGGCAGGGGGGAAAGAGGAGACTTCGTACCCTAAGAGTTTCTGCGCTTTCCTCCACCCCAGCTGCAATGATTTGCCTGGGGGTAGGGAGTGCACAAAATCTCCCTTCCCCGCCCCCCCTCCACCCCAGGACGTGCAGTAGAGGGGTCTGCCAGCCATTTGGAACAGCTGGCGGCTCCATCTACGCATCCTGTGCCCCTTACGGCAGGGGGGAAAGAGGAGACTTCGTACCCTAACCTGTCCTCAAGCCAAGCGGGGTCTGGGAGCAGAGGAGCCTGTGGGGTCTCACCTCTGCCTCTTGCAAGGTGGACCATGGGCCAGATCAAACAGCTTGGTAGGCCAGCTGCAGAACGCTGGCCATATCGTGCCACCCTTGACCACCTGGGGGTTGCTTTATGAGTGGCATGGCCTGCCTCTGACCTGTGGCAGCAGATGGCAGGGCCTGGTAGGTTGGTTTCCCATGGAAAAAAAATCCGGGATTTCATATTTTCCTAGTGTGACTTGCGGAGTTTTGCTCTGTACATCGGCCCTGGGGAAGAGGGGCCCATGTTTTGATGCCCCGTTTCCTAGGGAAAACTTTGCCCAGAGACCTGCTCCTAGTCAGAGAGGGGTCAAGCAGGGAGCAAACCTCCTTGCTAGTTGCAACGGCCCCCACAGCAAAGCGTCCCAGCCGGAAACCAACCCCCCCAGGATGGCTGCAGAGACTGAATCCCGCCCACATGCTTGGGACAAGACCCTGCAAGCGCAGGTCCAACAGCACCATCTCCTGGCTTCTGCCAGACCCACAGTACCCGACTGCTAGGCTACATTAGGGAGTTAGCTGCGAGGGACAGGTTTTTCAGTCGGGCCCGTCTGCACTGGGTGGAGGGCAGGTCCCGGGGAAGAGCCGATGGCTCCCTGAGGCCCTGGCTGGTTCTACACCCCCTCGGGAGCTCACGGCATTGCACCAAACAGTGCCAGGTGGGAGGGTGGCGTGGGACACATCTGGGGAGATGTGGCCAGTGTTTGTGCCGGGGGAGCTGTGCAGGCAGTGGGATGCTCTGGTCCCTGTTGTTTTCAGTGACTCTGGGCATTCGAGGTTAAAGCTCTAACCAGTGACACCTGCTGCCCCCTTACCTTTGACTCTCTGTAACTCCTCCTGCACCTTGGTCATGGCCTCCTGGAGCCCGCCATGGGCCTGTTTCATCTCCGCCAGCTCCTGGGACAGGCTGTGTGTCAGGTTCCTTATCTCTGCCAGGGCAGCAAGGGGGAGACAAACGCACCGGAATCAACAGGTTGATATTTCTGGGAGGGATCGGCGCTCCCTTCCCGGCAGCTGGGCATGTCGATCTATGTGTCCGGCCATCGGCAAACAGGCTGCCGGGGCCCATTGCCAGCCCCCTGCGGAGCCCATTGTGGGATTATCGAGCCCTCTGCTCTCACAGGCGCCTTGATTTTCCGACAAGCCAACTGAACGTGGAGGGAATTTGTACGTGGTAGCCCCACTCTGAGCTAGCCCCACTCCTCTTCCGCATCCCGGTATGCTTCTCTGGCGCTGTCAGCCCGTCATCAGGGCCCTGGCCCCTGCGCAGTCGCCCCAGAATGAGCCTCACTCAGAATCCAGCTCAGGTTGGCCCTGCACGGGCCTAATCGCAGAACGGACGAGCCGTCCCAAATTCCCTCTGCAGGCCACGGGCGCTGTGAGCTCGCAGCAAATCAGAGCCCCCCACCGGCCACTGCTCCCGCCCTCTACTCCCACCTAGGCACCGAGACCACAGGCCAGCAAAGCACTTACACACAGCCGGGCATTGCCAGCCTGCTCCACCCACAGAGCCCCACCCTTTGGAAGGGAAGAGTGAGCCCCGCAGGAAACCGTAGGTGTCATCGGCAGAGCCCCGGCTGAGAATCACTGCTCTGGGCACACGGGTCCCCCACACAGCGATCAGCGCACCCCCCGGCAGCACCCAGCCTGCAGCCTAGTGCACGACCCTCTACGGCCCGAGCTAAAAGCCAGCGGGGCTCTCAGCTCCGGCTGGAGAGGAGACTCATGGTGGGCAGTGGAGAATGCAGGCAAGGGAAGGCATTGCCTTCCCAAAACTGCCCACACTGCCCAGCAGGGACTGGGGCTGAGCTGTGGCAGTGCAGTCCTCCAGCAGCTGGGGAGGAGCTGGGGGGTTCTCTGGTGGCTGGGGAGGGCTGGGCTTGGGACACAGCAGCCCTGGCCCCCACTTGGCATTGGGCCGGGTTTGGCTGTTATTCAAGGGGTATGGTCTGGGGGAAGGGGTGTGGCTTCGAGAACATGAGACTTGTTCTCTCTGTAAGCGGTCTCGGTGCCCCTGCGTGGGACGGGGAGCCACACCACCGAGCGTGTGGGTGACACACTCTTGAACAGCAACCTGGGGGGTGAACTGGGGCCCTCTGGGGCGAGAAGCTGGAATGACTCCAGCTGGAGCCAAAGCGTCCCAGGTGCTGCCTCGCTCGGCGCAGAGGGCGCCCATCACCTGCTCACCCAAGGACTGCGCCGGCGTAAGTGCTGGCGGTTGGACTGCAGCAGGAACTGGGCCCAGGATGGAACCTGGGAAGGACGCATGGGAGCAGGGCGCAGCCAACCCCAAGCCCCACCTCCCTGGGCCATCCTGACACTCAGAGCCTCCCACTGCCCTCGAGGGTTGCCAGATGGCTTAACAAAA